GAGGAGGGCTTCTCAGCGGAGGCGAGGCCAATCTCAGGGGGGGATCGGCTCAGGGGAGTCATCGACCTGCAATCGCCCATTCATCGCCGACAGGAGCTCGATAGCCCGTCCCACCCAGGAACGTGCGGACTCGCAATCGGGGGCCCATTCTATCGGCGACGTATCGCCAGTTCAAGCTCGACGTTTCCCCCCTGAGCTGGTCCCCCCTATCGTTGCCCCTCACTGCCCCGAACTCGCAGCGCCCCGTTCGGGCAGGAGTTTGATCGCTCAGTGCTCGGAGTCCAGTCCTCGGTGTGCAGCCTGGGGGCCGCTCCGCCCGGTCTGCCGCGTGATTTCGCATTCGGGGCTCGGGGGGACCGAAATGGGTTCGGAAACCATGGGTGTGACGACCGACATCGTTTCCTGTCCGTTTGGAGCAGCAGTCGCTGTCGGTGCCTCCGCCGAGGTTGTCCATTTGAGACAAAAGTCGCCTGCGCAACAGTGGCCGCTGCCGGTTTTGGACACCATTTGTTGTTGGACATCGTGCCCATTCTTCCCGTACCCATTTCTGGCGTCCAAAGGGGCGTGTATTCGCAAGTTTTCTGGGCCGCAGGCCGAACCACGCCAGTGCTGGTCGGTAGAGTCCACAGTGGGATACGGCCAGGAACGCTTGCGCGTCGCGCTGCCGGTTCTGGCCCACCACGCCTCGGAGCGACACGCTAACCACGTCCCAGTCCCCAAGCGTCAACGTCCCGAGCCGTTTCCAGCCACCCGCCCAGCGGGGCGGAGCGATACGCTACTCGCTCGCATGGCACAGCGTGTCGCCAGGGCCGCCGCCGTGACACGCTAAGTAACAGTTCGCGACTGTACATCCGGGTCAGGTCTGTGCGCAGCGGAGATCGGCGCATGTGTCGGGCTTCCAGGACTGTTAGTGATGCCAGGGCACTTCCATGCTTGTTCGTTGCCCAATCAATGTGTTGTGGTGTTTGTAGGCATCGCGCCCATGACGCAGGAGGATGTCGCTGTGCAGTGGCAGTGTTTTGTCGGCAACTCTGGCAGATTAAGAAACTTAGGCATGCATGGTCCACGCTGGGTATGGGGGGGGTCGTTCGTTAAGGAATGTGCCCAGGAGGCTGCGGACCTTGGAGGATCCCTTATCTGATGAGGGCGGTTGTGGTATCCATGGCCATCCCACGATTGGAGTTCAACGGACTTCCAGACCCTGGGGTCCTTATCCAATGGTTTTTTCAAGGCCCTCACCGTATTCGTCCAGGCTGGGGCCTAGTGCTGGCCATCGCTGCGCCGCCGACATTTATCGGAGCGAGGACCGCCCGTTCACCCGAGTCCATTTCAGGGCGGGCACGTGCTGGCTGCCTGGGGTCGGACAGCCGTCGTGGCGCTTATCTTCTGCTCCGCCTTCTCCTAGCAGTGGGGGGTTGCCTCGGCTGGGGTTGACCCACGGGGGGGAGGAGGATGGGCGACGGGGTCAGATCCCAACGGTGGGCCAGATCCCAACAGACTGGAACATATCCCAACAGGCCAAAACACCGGATCGGTTCAGATCCCAACGGGCGGACAACATAATTTTAAATGTTATCGCATGGACATCTTGGCAGCGAAAACCAAATAGTACCCTTCTAGGCAACTCATTCGAATCTTATCGCGATAGGTTGGGATCTCTACCGTTCCATTGCCCTGTGATGTGGGAGTTCTTAGTACTTAGTACTTCAAGACGGCCCTATATAGGCTGAAGACGTTCCAGGACGGCTTTCAGATAGCCCAGAACGATTTCAAAACATAATCATCCACCATCTTACAGGAAACCGGAGGAATCTTCAGGCATAGCCAGGGATATTTCAGAATTCCTTCAGGAACCCTTGAGGAATCCGTCAGGATTCCCACGGAATCTTTCATGATTTCCCAGTAAACCTTCAGAAATACCATAGGAATCCTTCGGAATCCCTCGGAATCTTGTCCAGGGCTTCCCTTCCAGGTATGTTTGGAATCCTCAGGCATCCCCAGGAATCTTCAAAACCGCAGGAATCCTTCAGGAATCGCCAGAAATCCTTACAAAGTTTCATGAATCAGTCGGAATCCACAGTGACCTTCAGGAATCCTCCCGGATTCCTTTGGAACCGTCAGGAATCTTCAGGGATGTTCCAGAAATCCGTCAGGAACCATCCGGGATCCGCAGGAATCCCCCAGGCGTCCTTAAGAATCCGTAGGACTTCTACGGAAACTATAGGAGTCCTCAGGAATCCTCCAGGCACCGTGCAGAAATCCGTCAGGTATCCTTCAGGAATGCATCGGGATCCTCAGGGATGTTTCTGGGATCTCTGAGGTATTCTTCAGGAATCTTCTATAGAAATCATTCAGGACGCAGGAATCACTCGGGAGTCGCTCAGGAAGCCTAGGGGGAATCCTGGGGAATCTTCAGGAGCCCTTGCGGTATCCTTCAGAAATCATTCAGAATCCGGTGGGATCTTCAGGAGTCCTCAGGGATCTTTTGGGGTCCTCCAGGCAGCTTTAGGACTGCGTAGGATTTTTTGGGGAATCTGTAGGAAGGAACCTCCAGGAATCTTTTTCAGGAGTCCCAAGGAATCCTTAGGAATCTGGAGGGAACCCGCAGAAGTCTTAATGCGTCCTTCAGGAATCTGTGTGGGAGCCGCAGGAATCCTTCGGGCATCATTCAGAAATCCTCCAGGAATCCTTCATGAACCCTTTTTAGGAATGCTTCAAGACTTCCCGGGGATCACCGAGGAGTTTTTTCATGAATCCTGAAGGAATCTTGCAGGATCTTTAGGGATCTTTGGGGAATCACCAGGGACCCGCGGAAATCCTCATGAATCCTTGCGGGATGCGGAGGAATGTTCCAGAACCCTTTAAGATCCCCTGAAGACTTTCAGGCGATCTTCAGGGATCCTGCGGAATCCCGAAGGAATCTTTAGGAATCTTGCGGGCCCTTCTGAATCCTGCAGGAATCTTAGGAATCTTGCGACATCTTGAAGAATCCCATTGAATCCCCGTGAATCTTGCGAGGAATCCTCCAACATCTTTTTTATAAGACCGTAGGAACCCCAAGGTATTCGTAGGAACCCGTGGGAATCTTCAGCTCCTCGGCTGGAATACCCAGGGATTCCTTCCGGAATCCTCAGGAACCCATCGGAATCCTCAGGGATTCTTCAGGAATTGTACAAGCATCGGTCAGAAGTCTTGCATGCATCCTTCAGGAATCCTTGAGGAATCCTGTTGGAATCTTTCAAGAATCTTTCAAGAATCTTCAGGAATCCGTTAGGAAGCCTAGGGGGGATCCTCAGGACTCGTTTACGAAGCCTCGGAGGCGACCAGGAGGCGCCGACCTAGGAGGCGCCTGCAAAGCGTTCGGAAGCTTAGATAAGGTTTGTTGGGGTTTGAACCGTGTTGGTTTTCTTACCTCTTGGGAACTGACCCAGTCTGTGCGGATCTGACCTGTCTCGTTGGAATATGACCCCTTCTCCGGTCAGGGGCCACGATGCTCGGCCCCGGTCATATGTTCACATGTGTTTTTTTGCAGCAGTTTGTTTGTTATCCCAGTTTTGTGTCGCACTTGCGTTTTTTTCGCATTGGAGGCTCAGCCAAGGTCGGTGTGGGGGGATGGAGGGGCCCAGGTTCCCGACGGTGGCGCGGGTCTAATTGACGCAGGAGAATCACAGCAGTGATGCCCATCGCGGGGGGCCCCGACAGCTTGTTCGTGCAGCAAGTGTGCAACCTCATGCGAGCGGAACTCCATGTGTTCAGAAGCAATGTTTTGGGGGGATCGGGTCAGGGTGGGGCGCATCGACTCCCAATCGCGCATTGATCGCCGATAGAGGCCTGATAGTCCACCCCGCCCATGAACGTGCGGATTCGCTATCGGGGGCCTACCGCCGATCAATCGGCGATGCACCGCCGATTCCAGGTCGATGTCCTCCCCCTGAGCTGTTCCCCGGTCCCCCCTCTGACATAGACCCCGCGTGAGTCGTTCCAGAAAGGTCTTCGATATGGACGGGTTCTGGAACCCGCCATGTAAGCAGACTCTCGTATGTGTATGTGTGTGTGGAGTAGGGCGGAAGGCATACTGATCCACAGGAAGCCAGGCCATATGGATCCGAGTAGCCACTGGAAAAGCGTGGCGGGCAGGGGCAGTGGGACGGGAAAGCATAGGAATCCATAGGGGGCAGGCCATCGGGATCCAAGTATCTACGGGACAAAGTTCGGCAGGAGGCCAACGTGTTCGCCAGGTCCTTGTTGAACAGGGCACGCACCATTAAGAACACCATGATCGGTGCCCGCGAAGGGCCCTGGCCTTGGTCAGAAGCTTCCGGGCCCGACGTATGTGGCCCAGACAGCGTCTTGTCGGGGCACTTTTTGTCCGCTTGCGCGAGCTTCAGATCGTACGTGTTCTCGCTGGCTTGGGGCGCGCTGTTACCGTTGCGCTCGTCTTCCTGCTCTGCCCCTCCCTCCTCCAGCTGGGGGAGGGGGGGGGGGGAGGTGGCCGGGCCCGGGGCGTCGTTGGGTCTTGCGGGGGGGGGGCAGAGGAAGAGGGTGCTGGAGGCATGGGATACCAATGCGGAGTTCCACCGGCTTCCAGACGATTCCAGACCCTGGATTTCTTATCTAAGGGTCCCCCTGTGGACTTGTGTCTTGGAGCGCGAATTTCGTCCGATCCCTGTCTGCGGGGCTCATGGGTAGAGCCTTGACGTGACACGTCGTGCTGTGGACGGCAGGCATAGGTCGAAATACGGCAGGCACGTAGAAGAAATAACCTTCCTGCAATCAGGTGCCCCATATCTCCTGATGGCCCCGGGGATCCACACGAGACATGGGGCAGCCGGAAGGTTGAAACATCGACGCCGAGTGTGCCCGCGCCCATGTTTCTGACAGCAGCACTTCTCACAGTGTGTGCGTCCTGAGGGGCGACAGGGGAGAGCGGGATAACGAAGACGTCGCGAAAGCAATACGGGGGGAGCAGCAGTCGGGGGAGCAGGCGGAACCCAGGCGAG